ATATGCAAGCCTCCAACAAAAGACAGGTTGTAACGTAGCTAAAGACACATTGGCCAAGAATCAAACGTGTATCTCCCACAAGGGAGGTAAAAAGTCTACCACTGAATCAGCACAAGTCTCTAGCAAAGAACTGGACTTCCATGAAGGAGCTACATGATTTCTGCTTTAGGCTTCCAGGGGGTAATTTCTAAACACGTTGAGTGTCCTGGTTGATAAGAGTGTCTTTGTTTATCTGGGATTGTGAACTATATTGGAAAGTCTTAACAAGATGCTTTATGGGAGAGGCTTTGAGTCACATGGTATCAGATCTGCCTCTTGGAGAGACTGGAGACTGATGTCAGTCATACGGGAAGTCAACCACATGAGCTTTATTGGTTTGTAACACTTGATGCACACAGGAATGTCACACTGTCCTCCACGCCATAGGAAGAAGACAATTGGAAGCTCCACATTTGAATCTCCTGGACTCTGACTCCCTTGGCCTATTTTAATCTACAGTCATTAGTCACAATAAATTATAACCATGAGAACAACTATTTCAGTGAATTCTGTGAGCCATTCTACCAAGTTATCAAAACTCATCATGGTCTTAAAAACTTTAAAAAAAAAAAAAAAAGAGAGACCCCAAAACTTGAAATTGGCATGAGAAGAGAGAGTGATCTTATGGACTATGCCCTCTAATGATGCATTATGTTTCAAGCTAAGGGTTCACCCTGATAAGATAGTGTGTAATCAGTAGCTTTGTATGCATACAACTACTTAAGTGACCACTCAGAAGGGAATTTAAAAAGGAAGAAAAGAAAAGAAGTCTTATAGATTGTTGCTTTCAAGAAGGGAACTCAAGGGGGGTGAATTCAAGGGAAACAAAAGAGATTTTGCACTACTTTATAAATGGCTGTGTGGTTTGAGTTTTTAATGGGAAATGCATTACTATTGTCATTTTTGAAAAGTCATATTGAAAGAAAAGAAAGGAATGTTCTCTGCTGTCCTTCAGACGAACACGTCTTCAGCCTGCCCACAAAATGTTTCTCTCTAACATCAGGTCAGGTAGGTTAGCAAGATTTTTCAAGTGTTGCTTGAATTGTCCGAGTGGTTAGAGGGAAATGTGATTTCTGTGGCCCCAGGCATCTAGATGTGTTATCTACATCACCTAATGGATTGTTAAGTCATTCGAAGCACATTGAGCAGTGGGAGAAGGATGTGTGACTTAGAGGCACAACAACTGACCACACTCCTAACAGGTCTGAGCCAGCCTAGAGCGAAAGTGGCTTATAGCCTATTAGAAAAATCATTTACTGAGATCTTACTGACATCTATACCACTTTGAAAGACCTCAGAAAGTAATTTAGGTGATTATCTTGTTATTAAATAACTTCTTTATTATTTTCTCTTGTAGTGTTTTATTAGATCTTGATTATTTGTAACAATTTTGATATATAGAGATTATAAAATGTTTATGGAGCATAATTCTGAGTTGAATTCCAAGATACCAACTCCATGTTAAAGACAATGTAGAAATATAAACTCAAATTCAAAGCTTTTCATTTTTTCATAAATGAAGGTAAAAGGTTAGCTCAGCAAACTTTTATTCTATTCACAGGTCTGTCTGCCAGTATCGCTCTTTCTCTCTCCGGTGATCTGATACCAGCAAGCACACAGAATAAAAGTAAAATGACAGCCATCAACCCTACTACAATTCATGACTGGTTTCCATTGCGTTATAGTCACCTTTCTTGTTTAATGATACGTTGATAAGATAGATTTCATTATTCAGTTTTTAAAATCCATCTTTGCCCTTCAAACCTGCTTCTTTTCCCAGATGCGTCAAGGTGACCTCCTTTTCCTCATCATGCTCCCAACTTCTTTGCCATTGCCTTCTTAGCCATGTTCAATGTTCAGACCCTCTCTGACATCTTCTCTTAACACCCGTCCATCCACACAATTGTTCCAATGCCGGAGCCCATTGGGCAGTCACTGTGCCAATCCACCTCAATGAAGCCCTTCCTTTGCTTTGCTGCCCCTCTACTTGACCAAGCATGATGTCCTTCTCCAGGGAGTGGTCTCTCCTGACAATCTATCCAAAATATGTAAGGCACAGTCTTGCATGCTGGCTGTACTTCTAAAGAGTCCTGTCGGCAGTCCACGGTACTTTCAATACTCTTCTCCAGCACCACAATTCAAATGCATCAGTTCCTCAGTCTTCCTTAGTCGGTGTCCAACTTTCACATGCTGTGAAGCCATGGAAAAGACCCTGGCCTGGCTCAGGTGCACCTTCGTGCTCAAAGTAACCTCCTTGCTTTTCAGTACTCTAAAGAGGGTTTGCACAGCAGATTTACCCATTGCTACTTATCTTTTGACCGCCACAACGAGCGTTGATTGTTACTCTAAGAAAGACTAAATCCTTGACATTTCGATCTTTTTTCCTTTTGACATGTTACCTATTGGTCCAATTGTGAGGATCGGAGAGTTATCTTGACATTGAGTCATAATCCATCCTCAAGGCTGCAATCCTTGATCTTCATCAGCAGGTGCTTTACGTTCTCACTGTCAGCAAGCCGTGTCATATGCATATCTCGGGTGAATAAGCCTTCCTCCAAACCTAATGTCACTTTCTTCTTCATACAATCTAGCTCCTCTGAATGTGTGCTTAGCAGATAGATTGAACAAGGATAGTGAGAGGATACAACACTCATGCACACCTTTCCTGATTTTAAACCGTACAGTATTCCCTTGTTCTATTCACA